GATACATGCTCATGATTCTTAACCATGATGAATAAGATGTTGATATTGTTGTAAGTCATGTTTGTCCTTAAATTCTTCGCGAAGTTGTATTCAGAATTCAAAAAAGTCTCGCTTGTAATATTCAAAGAATATTGGATGCTGTTGTCCTTACTCAGCATATTAAACTCATCAAAATTACAAACATTTGGGCAAAGCTTTTTCACAAAATGTTCGAAAGCGTAGTCTTCTTTTACATTCTTTGTCATATCTGAGAATTCAAATTTCTTATTAACGTAGACTAAAACAAGACTATTTTGTTTCATTCTGATTTTGAATTTTTGTTTGATACTTGAAAGTAGAGCAGTTGAGAGAGTTTAAATATTAGGCAAGCAAGGCTTCGCGTCACTAATGAAGTCTATTTATGGTTAATTTAAGGAAATTACTGACTATCTTTTATCCGAGCAGTTATTAGTTGGCTTCATACATTACTACACAACTATAATAATTTGTAGAATTTCAATTGGATTTGTTATATATTTATGTGAAATTTATTTTAATTGTATATTAATCGTCATTCGGCCAAAAAAAATATTTTTAGAATTTATTAATGACGCGTAAGACAAAAGCCAAATTGGAATTCTTCGAAAGTTTTTATAATTAAACAATACTTTCTATCTTCCTATCAAAATGATTTAAAATAAGAAACAGTGAAGTGACACGCGTGATATTCGATTAGAAATATAAAAGTAACTAATCATGACACTCCCTACACGTACAGTAATTTCTTTGTTTAATATGTGGTTAATTAAAATTCTTAAAACAAGAGCAATTTTGAACAAAAAATTTTTGGCTTTCCGAGTGGTTAATTTATTGAATTCATTGCTCATACGGCATTTATTTTTTCATCAAAAATTTGTTACAAATGTAAATTGTCTTTAAACTATTTTTGGAACATATATTTTACTGGTTTTATTTTATTTAAAAAAAATTTTAAAGAAAATAATAATCGAAACCATTTTTAATTCATATTTAGTAACAATGTCCTACAATTATATATTATTTAATATTTTATGAATTGATTTACCAGTGATAATATCTCAAGAATCTAATTGAATCTCAGTAACTAATTTTTATTCAATAAACCGTACTTTAAATATTATTGTCAAAGTCATAGTAGTGATGTGATCCGTATCCGTTTTTCATATGTATTTAACCAGTTTGAACAGGTTTTTACATATGAAAAATGGATACGGATTGCACCTCTAAGACAAAGTCAATATTCTTAAATATAATAAAAGTGAGCCTTGAGTTATTTGTTTAATCTTAAACAGAAAGCCAAAATGGAAGCTAACTTGATCATATACCAAAAAAGATTATAAGAAAATCAAAGAAAATTCATCTATATTAATGATTCTAACGAGCTATGAAGGTTTTGAATATGTATTTTCACAATGATACGTGTACTTCTGAACAAAGAAATGAAGTCTTTGTAGGTTTTAGCGTATTTTATTTTCATTCATTTCCTTTCGGAGTATCTGAATGTGAACTGTAATATTTGTAATATAAATTATTTGTTGCTTTACAGTTCAAATCTCTTTCAGTCCGAAATTAGTGAACTGTAAATTGATATAAAACTAGTAATTTTACATTACAAATTGCCGCATTTAGGTGATGGTACGCGTAAAAAATTTTTGCTTACCAAAACTTAAACCTTCTACAAATAGAATTCTAAATAAATAATTTTTCGCGTAATCATTTAAGATGTTGCTAAAACAAAGTTTATATATCACTATTAGGATCCTTTAATCGAATGGTTATTTTTAGCTAATAGTATTGTAATAAGTATATAATTCCAAATGATTATAAATAGGGGCTCTGTTCGTTCTTGAAGAATCAAAAATTTTCAGTCACAAAAAATTATTGATTTAAATAATGAAATAATCAGAGAGAACATATACGTCGAGTCGTCGTATGGGAAAAACAACCAAGAATCTATAACATGAATAAACCCTTTATAATTTTTATCATTTTGTTAATTATTGTTTACGTACATCAACCTTTCACAAAATATGATTCGTGTAATTGTTTTCACAAAGAGCATTTGCTAATTCTTTTATTCCTTCAAAGCCAATTTTATTTGATGAAAGATCCAATGAAG